TATTTGTAGAAAGTTCTGTACTTTTCATGAACCTTTTCTATTATATGATATTATTTGTTCCTCAAATGTTTTTTAAATTGTACAAAGTATTTGTAAGTTTTACCTATGTGCATATTTCAATTATATCTTGCAATTAAGTCATTGGTACTTCTACAGCCATTGTATTCCTTTAATAAACTCTATATTCACACACAAAAAAAAGAAAAAAAGAAAACATCAGGGGAGAAACTGGTGAAATCCAAATCAAGTCTATAATTTAATTAACAGTATGGCACTAATTTTAATTTCTAGTTTTGATCACTGTGCCAAGATTATGTAAGATGTTAATATTAAGAGAAACTGGGCGAGGGGGTACTCTCTATAATACCTTCGCAACTCTTCTCTAAGTCTTAAATTATTTCAAAATAATGTCTTTAAAAAAAACACAAAGCGCTATCAGTATGTATGTAATAGAATGACTAAAATTTTAAAGACGAACAGAGTGCTGATAGGGATTCAGAACAACTGGAAATCTCGTGTTTTGCTGGTGGGGATGCAAATGGCACAACCACTGTGGAAAAATGTCTGGAAATTTCTTACAAAGTTAAACATACTATACATCCCAGCAATTCCATTCCTAGGCATTTACCCAAAAGAGATGAAGACTATGTCCATACAATGACCTGTAAGTGAATGTTTATAACAACTTTATTCATTATAGCTTTAAACTGTAAAAAAAACACAAATGTCCATGAACCGGTAAATGATGAACAATTGTGGTACCTTCACATAATGGGGTACTATTCAGTAACAAAAAGAAAAAATCTACTAACATACACAACAACATGGATAACTCTCAGAAACATTATACTAAAAGAAAAACGTCAGATACAAAAGGCTCAAAGGTTGGTAAGGATAAAAGGTTGGGTAATTTGTTAATGTTCTATATCTTGATTGTAGCAGTTACTAGAATCAGCTGTCGAAACTCATTGAATACACTTAAAAAGCATATTTCATTATGTACAAATTGTCTCGATAAACAACATAAAAAACAAACAAATCTAACTGAGGAAAATACATAAGAGAAATAAAAATACTTATTCAATCACATGAAGAAATGTTTGATCTTGCTATTAATCAAACTATGAATTCTTTTGCTATCTTTCAAATTGTTGGGGTTTTTTTTCATTTGGTGTAGGTTTTAAAATTTTAACGTATGATAGATTCACATAACATCACCATAATCAGGATACAAAGCGGTTCTATCACCCCAAAAGCCTGTATCATGCTATCTATTTATAAAAGTCACTCCCTCTCCCCAGCCATAAACTCTGGCAGCCACTGATTCATTCTCTATCTCTATAGTTCGGTCATTTTGAGAACATAAGGGTATGTAACCCTTAGAAAAGGGCTTCTTTCACTTAGCATAATTCCTTTGAGAGCCTTACGAGATGTTCTGGGCATCAATAGCTCATTCTTTTTTATGGCTGAGTAGCATCCCGTTGCATGAATGTACCACAGTTTGTTTATCCATTCACCCATTGAAAGATATTAGAATAAAATCAGTTTTTTATGGGATCTTGAATAAAAAACTTTAATGAATAAAGAACTGAGATAGGCAACGAATTTTAACAGTACTAATAAAACAGAGTATTTACTTTAAAAGGGTCGATGCTATGTTACAAATGCATGGGTAATAGATTTTGATATTTTATTAATAACTACTTTCCCTTATAAAAAGATCTTCCTTAGAGAGCTAAGGGCGAACATTCAATTTCTTTAATTTCTTTGTAATAAAAGATCAAAGATATAGCAGGAATAATTAGAAAAGCCGGCAGCCGAATTAAAATTAGCCAGCGCAGGACAGAGGTTAGCTGGTCTTGGTCATCCCATGATGTAGAACACTGTTTTTTACTACGTATTTCAAATATAATAGAAAAATTATGTTCCTTGCCTCTCTAAACTATAACCGCCACATACAATACAGACATTCTTTACATAATGAGTTTACCTGCTTTGGAAATACCGTTAAAAGAGAGCCACAATGTACTTGATAATATGGTGCATCTTTTCTATTTCATGGCCTGAATGTAGCATTAAATAAGCAAACTAAATATTACCACTAAAAATGAAAATCTCAGAATAGTTTGCTCCATTCCCATTAGACCAGCGGTTCTCAACCTTTCACAGGGGTCGCCTAAGACCATCGGAAAACACATATTTCCAATGATCTTAGGAACCAAGACACCGCTCCTCTATCCGTCTCCAGGCCCACGTGCAGATATGCCCACATACGAGTATCCGGCGACCCCTGTGAAAGGGTTGTTCGACCCCCCAAAGGGGTGGCGACCCACAGGTTGAGAACCGCTGCATTAGACCAAGCAATTCTAGAACAATATTTTATAATTAAATAACCCACACTTATCCTACTGATAAGCAATTAAAACACATACAGGACACCATAACTGTATTGTCTGAACTAGAAATAATCTTAGAAACAAGCTGGAAAGTTCTAGGAAATTATTTCAGTGCTTCCCAAAGTTTCAGTCTTGTAAGCACCTCCTTCCTGGTAACTGGTATGTTTCTATCAATTCACACTTTATAATTTACTGAGCACAGACGGACTGGATGTTTATCAATCCCATGTCTGCCCCCTGGGGATAAAGGACCCTAAGCGTCCCAGCCTCCTGTGCAGTTCAATTAGAACCTTATACGAGGTCTGGACCATGGAACATGAGGACTGTGCCATTCCTCCACTCTAGGCCAGGCCCCAACAAAATTCTCCACTTGTTCTCCCACCCCTGGGCTCTGTCTGCACAACCAGAAGTGAAGGAGTGACGCAATGCAAGAGGCCTGGATTCCTGGGTCACCTCTTGGAGGAGAAAAAACCCAAACAGCATCAGGATGTGACACGAGGAAGAAGTAAAGGGATACTGCCTTAAGCCTCAGCCTCTGAGGACTGGGGGTTGTTTGTTAACAGCACTTTTTGTTAAGCATCTGGACTAATACCCCTACTTTAAAAGGAAATGTAGCACTATCCATAGAGGGAAAATCAGTGTTTGTCTAATATATAGTCAAATAAATATTTCCCCTTTCAGTAATGTCTGTTTATATATCACTTAAAATCACCTCATCTATGGAGTAAGCATCTTCAAAAAACCATGAGGAAAGTATTTATGAGGTGAAGACAGGGGAAAAAAAAGTTATCTTATTATTTTAAGTGGGTCCCAATATATCTTTTCTAAAAAGCCATTTTTAATAAAGAATCAAAGGCATAAGCTTAACTCTAAACTCAGTATCAAAAAAATCTTCTGAATGTATCACTCAACTATTCCTACAATAAGAACATGAAATCTACATTTTTACCATTATAATGGGTTTCTGTGATTCACTCCTCATTTCAAATTAAACAACTTTCAAAAACCCATTATCTTTGCTCTACTTTAATGCTCAGCTAAAAGCTAATCAGAGAGGATCCTCATATACATAACAAGTTGAATCAAGTTTCTCTTTTCAACGTGCTTTTTGTATGATTTCTAAATCAAACATTTTTGAGAGCACATAATTACAAGATAACTCAATGTAATTCTGCAACCTGCCAGAAAATTTCTGAGATCAAGTCTATTTTTCAAAGAAGTCCTTGCATTGAGCAAGTACATGACATATGAATTAAACACAATATCCCATGTCACACTATTCCAAATACCTTATTTTGAAGCTATCTTACTAGTTTAAAAAAAAAAAAAAACAGGGGCCGAGTGGCGCGTTGGTTAAGAGCTGGCTTGGGACGCCAGAGGGCCCCGGTTCGGATCCCACATACGAGAGCCAGTGACACTGCCCTCTACAGCTAAGATGCTAAACAACAGCTCAACCTGGAGCTAGGCTACCGTGAGTTACCAGCGACGGCATAGGCTACAGCCCCTGCTGCAGTGGGTTGCCATGAGCTACCGTGTGTAGCCAGCAGCCAGCATGAGTGGCCAGCAGCCGCCGTGGCCAGAAGCCGGTGACTGATCTGCCTCGCCCAGGAAGAGCGTGCAATGATGGTGCCAACTTGGGCTAGTGAAGCAACGTCCTCCACAATTAGACTGAAGAACAAAAAAACAACATGTCTGTTCCCCTTCCCCCAATTCCCTAGCTGTTTCCATCCCCCAATTCCCCAAAAAAAAATCTTTAAAAAAAAAAAAAAACTTGTAATAAGAATTTTGTTATTTTTACTAGGAAAATTTTTTAAATTCCAACTACTGGGCCGGCCGAGTGGCGCGATGGTTAAGAACTGGCTTGGGACGCCAGAGGGCCCCGGTTCGGATCCCACATATGAGGGCCAGTGACACTGCCCTCCACAGCTAAGATGCTGAACAACAGCTCAACCTGGAGCTGGGCTGCTGTGAGTCGCTGGCAACGGCGTAGGCTGCAGTCCCTGTGGCAGTGGGTTGCCATGGGCTACAGTGTGTAGCCAGCAGCCAGCGTGAGCGGCCAGCAGCCGCCGTGAGCGGCCGTCCAGAAGCCGGCGACTGATCTGCCTCGCCCAGGAAGAGCGCAACGATGGTGCCAACTTGGGCCAGTGAAGCAACGTCCTCCACAGCTAGACTGAAGACCAAAAAAAACGACAGCAACTTGTCTGTTCCCCTTCCCCCAATTCCCCAGCACTGTTCCCATTCCCCCAATTCTCCAATTTAAAAAAAAAAAAAATTCCAACTACTAGTTTGGGTAAAAACTTGCCAAGTAACATAGCTTTTCTCTGCACCCACATTATTATCATCAGAGGATGGACAATTTGTAATAAAAATAAATGACCAGTATTCTGAAGAAGAAAGGCTTTCTAACCTGTTACTATATTTATTATCAAAACACCTCTTTTGCATTAAGCTACATAAAAATAGACCTTGACTTACAGGCTATGATTCACACTTCTTTCTACTCCCCATTCTTTTCAAAAGTTAAAAATAATTTCATTTCTTTTAAAAACAACCCATTGCTGGAAGTAACATACTTATCAGATTTCCCTTTGCATCCCTGAGAGGAGCACCACCTCCGCCTTTCCCCCAGGGGTTGTAACTTCTCATTTCAGCCTCTAGCTTAGCGTCGTATTCTTCCTTTTCCTCACGTTCTTTCTTCCTTCTTTCTTCTCTTTCCCGAATCTTGACAACAGAGGAAACATTCATAGTAAGTCCTAACAAGTATTCTGATACAAAATGTTTCTTTTAACATCAGATTTATTTCATTTTTCTTATTACAGAAAAAAACTAGGAATTTTCTTTTCAGTATGCTTCACTCTAAAATTTAAAACCACAAACATATGTGATACCCAATTTTAAAACACTTCAATGGCCACTAGTCCTTTGCAGCCATTGATACCACTTTGGACTAAACTAACTCTTCCCTCCGACCCTCAGTGTCCACCTGAGCCATTCCCTCCCTAACTTCACCAGTTCCATGGGGACCAACAGGATCTCCCTACTTTCCTTTTTCATTTACCGTTTCACGGGACCTGGCCAGCTACAGACTACACCACACTCCTCAGCAGAACCATCCACGCTGGGCAAACTCCATTCCCAGCATTCACAGAGGTGCGAAGTTCAAAGCCCTTCGGGGAATGCTGGGCTACTTAAACTACAACTTTATGACAGCCAACAAAACAAATTCAATCTTATCATCATCATCAAGTATAAATACAGGCTTTTTCTCTAGAGACATATGGATAGGCAATAAACAAGTATCTACATTTTGGGAAGTGACTTTTAAAATTATAACCATTCGAGTATACATGGAAAATTTAGGCAACCATGCCAGCAAGGCCAAGGAAATCCTCACATGTAAAACATAAATTCAGTGGTTTTTAATATGCTCATCTGAAAACAGACAGATTAATTCAGTCTTCTATTTTGTAGAATACTAACGTAAAATAAAATAATGTTGGTAACTCTATACCTTTAAAAAAAAATCCGAGCCAGCTGAGTGGCGCGTTGGTTAAGAGCTGGCTTGGGACACTAGAGGGCCCCGGTTCGGATCCCACATATGAGGGCCAGTGACACTGCCCTCTACAGCTAAGATGCTGAACAACAGCTCAATCTGGAGCTGGGCTGCTGTGAGTCACCGGCGACAGTGTAGGCTGCAGCCTCTGCTGCAGTGGGTTGCCATGGGCTACTGTATATATTCAGCAGCCAGCGTGAGCGGCCAGCAGCCGCTGTGAGCGGCCGTCCAGAGGCCGGCAACTGATCTGCCTCAACCGGGAAGAGCGCAATGATGGTGCCAACTTGGGCCAGTGAAGCAACGTCCTCCACAACTGGACTGAAGAACAAAAGGACAGCAACTTGTCTGTTCCCCTTCCCCCGATTCCCCAGCGCTGTTCCCCTCCCGCAATTCCTCAATAAAATCTTTAAAAAAAAAAAATCCATCTTTTAAGGAGGTTGCCCATGTGAAAATTGAAAAAAAGGAGCTTTAGAAGAAATCTAGGTGGAATTTCATAGAAAAGTACCTCAGGTGGACATATACCTACCAAGAGTTCCAGGGTCCTCTCAGAGATATGGGTATTCCCCACCAAAATCCATGCATTTGATACAGTTTACTCTTCTATAAACTCTCTTCAGACATTATAAACTACAACAGAAGCCATTATTCTCCTCCCTAAAATTGTCCTACTTCTTTTATTCCGTCTTATTTATTGCCTCATTGATTACATTCTCCTAGATTACAACACTCAGAATCACCTCCAAGGCCCCCTTTCTTTCTCATCCCCTGTACCTAACTCTTATCACTGAAACCCCAGAACTGTCTCTTGGACATCCTTCCCATCCCCCCACCCCCTAAAAAAGTTTCTCTGCCACATCTCTTTCCCAATCACCTACATCACAACCAGGTATCTTCCTAAAAAGCCTAATCTGTTCACATCAACTATTCCTTTCACTCTGGTTTAAAATGTCTTCCCTTTGTCTATCCAAAATAGGATGAAACTGAAAGCCCCTTATAGCTAGTCCTTCACGATCCAGCACAATCTAACACTCCAGCCCCTTCTCCCAGGAATTTCATATCTATTCAGTGTACACCATGCAGCTCAAACATCAACAACCATGCGGAGCCCTTCTACCCTTCTATAACTACTCAATTATTCTCCCAATCCTAGGCTTTCAACAGCATTCCAATCTATCTGCATCAAAACTTAATCATAGTGAATGATACCTAACTGGATCTTTGCTCTCCACTGCCACACTGAGCTCTAAGGGACCTCTGTGCTAACACACAAAATGATCAAATGAATGAACAAACAAATGGCTGAATCCATGAACGAGTACCTGCTGCTGCAAAGCTTCCTGGTAAGACTGAAGCAATTGCTTAGAAGCCTTTGGTTTATCTTCAAAAAACAATCCTGAATTTATTGCTCGATCACTTGTCATCTTCAGTTCATTCTGTCCAACTGTACTCCTACATCAAATACACAATTAATAATTTGAATCCATTTATGACCAAGCAAGAAGAAAAGGCAACACTTCTTTGAAATAGCATATAAGCAGCACATTTAAAAATGGGAAGAGAGTTAGTTCTCTGTGGGTCAAAGAGAACTCCTCACGTTAATGACTTCCCCCAGCTCTGCTTTCATAATTCATGAAACTTTCAAATTTACTGGACCTATTTCTTGACTTAGGTGGTAGTTTCATGAGGGTAAAAACACTTTGTGATAATTCATCAAGCAGTATACATATGGCTTCTGCTCTTCTCTGAATGCACAGTAATAATAATACAGTGAAAGTCCATCAAATAATGTAACTAATGATATACTTAATATACTCCAATATAAAGTAACACCATCCTAGCCAATTCAAGGATAAAACAATATTATGACAGTAAAAAGTATGACTGTCCCAAATAAAGTAAAAATTTTAGGAAAACTTATAAAAAAATCAAAAAAGGAAATATTGAAAACATGGTTATATAAATCTCGAGCAATAAAGTGCTATTGTCTTAAATACAACATGGTAAAGTACAGGAATGCAGCCACTTTGCAGAAAATAATACATTTTAAAAATCTGAATTATAAAAGATAAATATTAGTTTTATAATAAAATTATAATTACAAAGAGAGTACAAAAGGCATCTCATTTCCCAAAACATCATTATCACTTTAAATCTGAGTTTCCTTTGTGTATTCAACTTATCCAATTTATTTACAATCTTTTATTAGGATAAACAGACGTGTTTGTGTATACTGTCACACTGGATTACGAATGTGTGAAAGGAAAGATGAGAACCAGAGCAAATGATTCCTAAAAGACATAATACTTTTTCGGAGCAAATGATTCCTAAAAGACATCATACTTTTTCTGCATGCATTAATAAATATAGAAGATTGAGAAGGCTTATCTGAGTATTAATCTAAATTAATCTCTCAGAGCAAACTGGCTATAAATTATATGGTGGATAGATGCTCTCAGTATCTGCTTCACTCAGTTTTCTTTCTGTTTGTGTCTTACCACTCGCTCAAGGTCCGAATTCTTGGCCTTTATTTATTGATTTTGCTCTGGCACCAGAAAGAGAGCATTTAGGGAAGTATGTACAATCAGATCAGGATGGGAGGAGGAGAGAAAAAATAGGGGTAGTAATTACACATCTCAACGATGTTCAGTAAATTTGTGGAATTGTACAACCATATCCGTTTCCATAACCCCAAAATAACCCTCACACCCATATGCAAACAAGCCCCGCTCCCACCCCCAGCCACAGGCAATCAGTAAGTGGCCTGCTTTCTGTCTCTGTAGATTTGCTCTCTGGACATTTAAGTGGAAACAAACAATATAAATGGATTCTTTCACGTATCATATTTTTGAGTTATGTTGTAGTACACATCAGTAGTTCATTCCTTTTTATTGCTGAATAGTATTTCATTGTTTGGACATAACATATTTTATTTATCCATTTACTAGTTCACAGACATTTGAATTGTTGACACTTTTTGGCTATCAAGCCCAAGTCTTTGTATGTACATATAGTTTTATTTCTCTTAAGTATATGCCTAGAAATGGAATTACAGTGTTGCATGTTAAGTATATGTTTAACTCTATAAGAAACCGCCATGTCCTGCAACTGCTTTTTATATATTGATTTTGTATTCAGCAATTCTGCTAAAACTCCTACTAATTCTAATATTTTGTCTGTACATTCTTTTGCAAATAATATCAGTTTTTTCTCTTCCTTTCTAATTCTTGTGCCTATCTTCCTTCCTTTCATTTTTACTTTTGCCCTTGCTGCAATTATTGGGCCCTAAAAGGAAGTGGTGATAAGAATACTAGTCATACTGTCAATCTCAAAAGGAAAGTTTTAAACATATCTCTATTAATTTAAATTATGATGTAGGTTCTTCATGTTTACACTTTCTCAACTTAAGTAGGTTTCCCTCTAACCTATTTTGTTTTTAATCACCAATGGATACTATTATTATCCCAATTAACAAACAAGGAACAGAAGAAATTAAGAAACATGCTCTGGGCTAAGTAAAACCAGGATTCAAACCAAGGAACTCAGCCTGCGAAGTCCATACTCTTAGCTGATACGCAGCAACATTCAGTCATCCTACCTTCCCAAGTTAGTCCAACTTGGGATGAAATATCCTTTTTTACATTATGAGGTTCCGTTTCAGGATTCTTTTATCTATATTCATTAGCAAGATTAGCCTGTAATTTTCCATTCTCATATTGGCCTTGTCAGGTTTGAGTATCAAGATTATGACAATCTCATAGTAGTACCTACAGAGTATTCCCTCTTGGTCTATACTCTGTATTAGCTTGTGTAAGATTAATTGTTTTCCCTGAATACTTGGTATAAGTCACCAATCCATCTAGACCTGGAGTTATTTAATTAGTTAAGATTTGAAACTAATGACCCAATTTTTTTTAACAGTTTTTATATTACTCAGGTTTTCTGTTTCGTTTTAAGTTACTTTAAGTTAAATTTTACTTGGAATTTTTCTTCACCTAAATTTCCAAATTGACACAGAATAGACATAGAATTTTTAAGTTGTAAAAATTCAGAAATGACAATTTTTTCATCTCTAATAGCTTGTTTTTTTCCTTGACAATTCAATAGGAAACTATTTTTTTTATATTACTGTTTTCAAGGAACCTACTTTAGACTGATTTTCTATATTGTATGTTTCTAGCCCATTAATTTCTGTTCTTTTCTTTATTCTTTCTTTCCTTGCTTCTTTGGGTTTACTTTATTTTTGTCACATTTTAAATACCTGATAATTATTTTAATTTTCATCACATTTTATGTATTTTCTAATTTGTTCCTTTTTTTCTAATTTCTAATATATGGAAAATTTTTAAAGTTATATTTTAAATTGATTTGAATCTTAAATAGTCCATTGGACATGAGTCAAAAGAAATTCACTGAGACTTTAAGGATTAGGATATGATGAGTTTTATAATATTCCTGTGATATTAGCAAAAATAGATACTCTGAAGTTTAGGGTGCATTTCTACACATTTCCATTATAATAAGCTTTTTAATTATGTTCACTGAATTCTTCCAGAAACGTACTGATTATTTTCTGCTTCATCTATCACTTATGGAATGAAGTGATAAACTCCAACGCTAGGATTCTGTATTTGTGTACTTTTCCCTGAAGTTCTTTAACATTTTGCCTTTTATATATTTTGAGACTATATTTTTAGGTGCATACAATTTTTTGTTCTATTGTCTGCTAAAATGAACCTTTACTCTTTATAAAGGGAATCTTTTTGTCTCAAAGCTTTATGACTGAAAACTCTATCTTATCAGATACTAAAATAGTTAAACAAACTTTATGTTAATTCATATTCTCCTAGTATGTCTGTACCCTTTTACTTGCAACTTTTCTACATTATTTTTTAAATATATGTCTTATAAGTAACATGTACCTGGATTTTGCTTTTGTATCTAGTAGGACAAAATTTCTCTTTCAACTATATACTTATTTACTAATATCAAATTTAAATTTGCCATTTAATTTTGACTTATATTCAGGTTAATTAAATAGGCTCCTTAAGCCTTTCTATGTTTCTTTATTTCCTCCTTTTTGATTTTTTTTCCTCTAAGTGTTACACCTTTGTCCATGTACTTATCAAAGACTAAAGCTAATCAAAATCTTTACCATCTTCCCAACAGATACAAAGATTTTAAAACACACTATCTACTCCATTTAATCCCTTCCAAATTACATTCTATTCCTATTTTCCTGTTAATTATTATTAATTTTACTTTTAAGCCCATAATAATTTTACATAGCTCATATGTATTTCATTCCATCCACATATTTATCACTTTCTCCTTCCATTGCTTTGTGCATCTCAGACCTTCCCGCTACGACCTCCTTCCTTCTGCATTTAAGAATTTCATTTACTTAAGATCTGCTAATGGCAAATTTGGTTGTTTTCTTAAAAATATTTTTATTTCAATCTCATTCATGAAAAATAATCTTGCTGAATATAGAATTATCTCAACACACTGACAATATCTTTAGTTATTTTCTGAATTCCTCCCTAGCGTTCCTTTGAAAGTAACAGACGAATAAATAAAGAAAATGTGGTGTATTCATACAATGGAATATTATTTAGCCTTTAAAAACAAGGAAATCCTGTCACATGCTACAACATGGATGAACCTTGCAATTATAGTAAGTAAAATAATCCAGACACAAAAAAGACAAATGCTGTAAGATTCCACTTTTATGAGGTACCTAACAAAGTAAAAAACACAGACGCAGAAGATAGAACAGCGGCTGCCAGGGGCAAGGAAAGAGGGAATGGGCAGATGTAGTTTAATAGGTATAGAGTTTCGGTTTTGCAAGGTGAGAAGAGGTCTGGAAATGCAAGGTGAGAAGAGGTCTAGATAGCGGTGATGGTTGCACAACAGTATGAATGTAGTTGACATCACTGAAGTATACACTACAAATGATTTTAATGGTTTTATGTGTATTTCACCACAATAAATAAATTGAAAAAATTTAAGATGGTAATGCTGACTAAACAAATCTACAGATGCTATATATTCTCTATCAAAATCTCAAGTGCCTTTTTTGCAGAAACTAACAAGCTGGTCCTAAAATTCACATGAAAATGAGAAGGACCTAGCAGAGCCAAAACAATCTTAGAAAAGAAAAACAAATTTAGAGAACTCACACTTCCCAATTTCAAAACTTAACTACAGTGCTACAATAACCAAGTACTACCAGTATAAGAATAGGAACATAGGTCAATGGAAAGGAAAAGAAAATCTCAGAAACAGACCCACACAAATATGCCCAACTGATTCTGACAAAAGTACAAAAGCAATTCAACAGAGGAAAAATAATCTTGTCAACAAATGGTGCTGGGAGCCAATGGACACTCCACTCCCCGACCCCCCCCCCACCAAAAGACCCCTGATCTAAGCCTCTACAACTTTTAGGTGGGGTAAAAAAACAGGAAAAAAATCTTTGGGATCTAGGCCTAGGAAAAGAGTACCTAGACTTGACACTGAAAGCATGATCTATATAAAAGGAAAAACTGATACATTGGAGTTGATCAAAACTTAAAACTTTTGCTCTGTGAAAGATCTTACTGAAAGGATAAAAAACAAGCTGACAGAAAATATTTGCAAACCATATCATCTGACAAATAACTAGTATTTAAGATAAATAAAGAACTCTCAAAACTCAGTAATTTTAAAAACGAATTAAAAACGAATATTTCTAATTCCCATTAGAAAATGTACAAAAGACATCAAGGGATATTTCACCAAAAAGATTTATAGATGGCAAATAAACACATGAAAAGATGTTCAACATCATTATCACTGGGAAAATGTAAATTAAAACCGCAATGATGTATCACTACACACCTATCAGAAAGGCATAAATAAAAATCACAACACCAAATGCTGGTGAAGATGTGAAGAAACCAGATTCTTAACACATTGTTGATATGAATGTAAAATGATACAGTCTTTCTGAAAATAGTTTGGCAATTCCTTACAAAACTAACCTGTAACTACCAAACCACCACTCAACCCAACAATAACACTCCTGGACAATCATCCTAAAGAAAGGCTATGTTCACACAAAAATCTGTACACAAATGTTTATAATCAGCTCTATCCATAATAACTGTGATGTCCTTCAATGAGTGAATGGTTAAACAAACTATGGTATATCCATAACATGGAATGCTACTCAGCAATAAGAACATAAGAACTATTTACACATGCAACAACCAAATCTACAGAGAATTATGCTGACTTTAAAAAGCAAACCCCCATACAAATACATGAAAAAATGCTCAATCAAGTTCACTAGCGAAATGCAAATCAAGACCACAATGAGATGCCACATTATGCCTGTTAGAATGGCTATTATCAACCAGACAAGTAATAACAAATGTTGGAGAGGCTGTGGAGAAAAAGAAACCCTCATACACTGCTGGTGGAAATGTAAGGTATAGTTACTATGGAAACAGTATGGAGGTTCTTCAAAAAATTAAGAATAGAATTACCATATGACCCAGCAATCCCTCTTCTGGGTTATCTACCCCAAAAATCTGAAAACATTTATCTATAAAGATATATGTACCCCTATGTATGATTCACGGTAGCCAAGACATGGAAACAACCATAGTGTCCTTTGACAGACGACAGGAAAAAGAAGATGTGGTGTATATACCCAATGGAATACCACTCAGCCATAAGAAAAGATGAAATACTGCCACTTGCTACAACATGGATGGATCTGGAGATTATCATGCTAAGCGAAATAGGTCAGATAGAAAAAGTCAAGAACCATATGATTTCACTCACATGTGGGATATAAAACTGAAAGCAACAAACGAACAAGACAAACAAACAAACAATCATAGACACCAGTTCAGTGTTTACCAGAGGGTAAGGGGAGATGGGCTGGTAGATGAGAGTAAAAGGAACCAAATATATGGTGATGGAAGGAGAACTAACTTGGGATAGTGAACACACAATGCAATAGAGATAGATGATGTATTGAAGAACAGTACACCTGAAATCCATATAATTTTCCTAACCAATGTCGCCCCAATAAATAAAAATTAAAAAAAGAAAAAAGTTTACTATTATTAAATAATTGCATTTATATAACATTCTTAAAATGATATTGTAGAAACGAAGAAGAGAATAGTTGTTAGCAGTGGCTAAGAAGGGAGTACAAACAGCAGGGAACTAAGTACGTCTATAAAAGGGCACCATCATAAGGGATCCTTGTGGTGATGGGAATGTTCTGTATCCTGACTAGATCCTGGGTCATGTATCTGGGCTGTGATATTGTACCACAGTTTTGCAAGATGTTAGCGTTGAGAAAAACTGGGTAAAGGGGACACAACATGTCTCTGTTATTTCTAACAATTCCACCATGGGAATCTACAATTATCTCTAAACAAAAAATTCAGTTTAAAAAAATGATTCTCTAGAAGTATATTTATTGACCTGGAAAAAATGTTTATAATATACTGTTAATTTTAAAAGCAGGCTACAGGGGCCAGCCGAGTGGCTCAATTGGTTAAGAGCTTGCTCAAGAATGCAAGCTCTCAGCAACAGGGTCGCCGGTTCGATTCCCACATGGGCCAGTGACACAGCTCACGAGCTGAGCTGCCACGGAGTTGCCAACAGGTGGCAGGACAGCTCAGCTGGTGAGAGCACGTGCTCCTAACAAGAAGGTTGCCTGTTCAAGATGGTGGGCTATGCTCACAAGCAACTAAAGACTGAACTCAGCATCTTGAGCTGAGCTGCCGCCCGGATGGCTCACTGGATAGAGCGTGTGCTCTTAACAACGAGGCTGCTGGTTCGACTCCCGCATGGCATGGTGGCTACGTCCCCACCATCCTCCCACCCCCCGCAACTAAATGAACACAGCACCTTGAGCAGAGCGGTGAGACTGGACTTGGAGCTGAGCTTACTGCGCCCTCCACCACTAAGATTGAAGGACAACAACTTGGCTGTTCCCCTCCCCCAATTCCCCAATAAAATCTTAAAAAAAAAAAAAAAAAAGGCAGGCTATAAAACAACATATACAATATAATAGCATTTTGGTGTGTGTGTGTCTATTTTTGTGAGTTTGTGTGTGTACACAGAAAGACTTCCTGAGTGCATATTTAGATATGGCTCTCTCTGGATGAATGAGGTTTTAGGCAATTTCAATTTTTTGCACGTGTTTGTTTATATTCTTATTTATCAATACTATGCATGCATTACTTTTCTAATGAGAAAAAGTGATGCTATTCTTAATTTTTTAAATGTATTTTCTATGAAACATTGACTTAAAAGCAATACTGTGAACATAATGATTATGCAATAATTAGAAATTAAAATAAGTTATATCTGTTCTGAAGAAAAAATAATGAGTTGAGTAACAAGGGTTCTATGGAAGACAAATTAATATTGAAAGAAATTACAATTTTAACTAATGACTTACATAATGGATGGTGCTGGCTGGTGGGTGACAGGAGCGCTAACATAAGCTGCAGGCTGTACTCCCATCATTCCTGAACCATCTTAAAGGGGAAAAAAAACCACACACATTTATTCCAGAGTACCCATTTAATAACAACTATCCTTAAAAAAAAATAGTCACTGAATATGTTACCTAAGAAAAAAACATCCCTATTTCCTTCTGGGTTAGGAGTTAGCAAAAAACAATGCAAGAAAATGCAACATAATTATTTTTCCAATCTAAATAAAAAGGAAATAACTATGAAATATAACTGAATTTTAAAAGAGGGCATTTAAATCAATAAATGTATAGTATTTGACTTAAGTAAAGCTGTGCTTTTCTCATTTGTATATTTTTCCTTGACAAAAAACAATTTTCCTGACTGAAACACTGGAAAGTAATGTTTACCCTACAGACTTACATACATAAAAGACAACTTACAATAAGCAAGACCGGGGTCCAAAGTATTCCTGGCTCCATAAAAATAGTAAGCATCATCGTAAGGAGTTCGATAGTTAGCAGCCAAAGGTGGTAGGAGGGGAGGTGGAGGCAGAGGCGCAATCCTGTATCAGAAGAAAATTGGAAAATTTTCTATTTCATCGTAATTTTTAAAAATCAATATATCGTTCTTTTCCTAAAATGTTACTGAAAATAAATTGCTGCTTTAGAAAAAACTACAACACTATGTAAGACAAAAACTTCAGATTTTGTTCGATCAACTAATATCTAATTAATCACTATATGCTGGTATTGAACAAACATGGTCCCTGTTTCTCAGGAATAATACAGAACTAAACAGACAATTACAGCAAAGTACAGTAAATGAAACTATACAAGCAGACTCAGGGAGTTACAGGAACACAGATCAGGGACATTTAAATCAGAGAAGGAAAGCCTATGGAAGCTTCTAGAAAAGGCAATGCATCAGCCATGTTGCTACGGTGAGTTAACACAGGGAGGAAGGACAGTTCAGGGAGACAAGGGGTACGCAACAGGATTACAAATGGCTCCATGTGACAGGGGAAGAGGTGCAGTTTTTAACTCTAAAAATGTATTGTTCTCTCAAAGAAAGTTAACCATAATGTGAAATGAATACCACTTATATATCAACAGTAAAGTCTTGACATGATTTTTAGGATTTCACAACGTTAAAACTTCTACTTCAGCACTTCATTACTGATTAGGAAATATCACGTATTTCCACCAAGGCAACATTTTCCAATAGGGAAACTGGAAAAGGAAAATTCCTTCAAATGAACAGAAAGAGAAAGGGGTATCCCAGAATGTTCATACTTTTTAAGTATATCCTAACGTGTTCTCCCTTGCTGTATATTTCAAAATAATACCAAAAAGCTAAGAAGGCATTAAAGTTCTCTTCAGTCGTAAATATTTTTCCCATTTACTAGTCACTCAATGTGCCTAACCTTACTATCCTCACTCCATAGATTCATCACCAAAGCAGTTGAAAATTGCAATGAAAAATTGTTAATATCATTAAATCTTACATTTTTATAGAGGTTTATTTAAGATTTAATCCTCACAACAACCTGTAATTACAGATAAGGAAAAAATACTTCTATTCCACTTTTACAAATGAGAAAATTGAAGTTCTATAAAGGTGCAGTATGACCAAAACCCAGACAGTGAAACCAACCATTTTAATCCCTAAACCAATGCTGAGGCCACCATATCATGCTCAGTAATTCCAATCCCACCTAGTCTTTTGAGTCAGGAAACAAATAAAACAGCTGATTAATACAGTAAACAGAGTCCTACAATTTGTTAGTAGCAACTAAAAGATAAGACCAAGTCCTTTTGAAAGAAAGTATAGCCCAGAAAATATCACTGTTAAAAAAGAAAAATACCTGATTAAATATACTCCTATAATGAATACATTAATAGTAAGCAAAAAATAAGTTCAAGTCCTACTAAGAGAAGAAAGCACAGCCGGAAAATCTCAATGTTAACACCAGGATTTTCTGTATGTATAGTCTAGGACATGATGCCTTTTACCAACAGAAATCAAATCTCTGCCCTCGTACCTAAATTACAGTTCTATAACCTCAACAGTTTTCATTGTAGGTATCTGAGTTACACAGCCCATAAATAATCACACAGAGAGAGAGAAAAAATGGCGGCGGTGAGGAGGGCTCCCTGAGTTTCCCCAGGAAAGCACAGCAATTTGAGCAGCTGGAGCGCAGCAAGTAATCACACAGAAAGAGTGCAATGAAATGCAAGTTAAAATAAAGTAATAAATATAAAAGAGCTACATTAGAAACTTTTTCTGCATAATCTGAAGGAATTACTCAATGTTTGCCAAGTGGAATTAAAAAATTGAAGATGTGCATCTTTTATATGTTAAAAGATATCAAAAATAGATATTTAAAAATATGACCCAAAACTAAATATTAAATGTACTTATGCAGTCTAAAAATACTAAAGCACCTTTAAACAATGAAAAAATGTTATAAAGATTTCCCTTGTTTTTATAATGACAAAAGACCAACAATGAAAACAGATTTCAAGAGAAATTATTTGAGAAACATCATGAATTCTACAAAAATCTCCGGAGGTTAACATTATCTGCTTCAGTAAATCCTTCTAGCTATAAAATACAATGATACCTTACCTAATTCCCAAACAAAAAAACATTTAAACAAGCACCTGGGGGGCACCATTTCACCAAGGGTGCTGCTGAGGCCATTGTGCAAATCTTCACTCTGAGATGGGATGGAGTGAACTGGTGGGATGGGTGGGGCGGATGGGGAAGATAAGGGAGGCAGAGGTGTCTGGAAAGCTACTCTGGGTCTTTCGGGTGGTAGCTTCTCTTCATAGTGTCGTGGTGCCACACTAAACTGCTTTAGTCTATCAGGCTAAAAGAGAAAAAAAATCTGTTACACATAATCACAAACTTAAAGGTGGCAGGCACCGCAAAAGGCCCTCTATCCCCGACTGTCAGCGGACACTTAAGTCAGTCACAGAGAACAGAATTTTACAACTAGAAGAGATTTTGAAGCTCTAGTCCTTACCTTAGAAATGGGGTAACTGAGGATCCCTGGAAGTACATCAATCATCTAACATTTCGCCACAATAAATAATCAAGACTAGAGCCAGGTGTTAATTCTAAATACAAAACTCTCAATTATATTACAACACTATGCTGCTTCTCTAGCCAACTGCCATTTCTGACATCACAGTATTCTCTAGAACAGTCAGCAAACATTTTCTGTAAAGAGCCAAGTAGTAAGTATCTCAGGCTTTGCAGGCCATCCTACCCGGCTCAGCCTTACTGAGTAGCCCAAAACAGTATATAAACAAATGAGCAGGGTGAGCTGCAATAAAGCTTTATGTGCAAAAATCGGCAGCAACTGGCTTTAACCAAAGGCCATACTGTACTTTGCTACCCCTGCTCTAGAATACCATTTGTGTGTCCTTTTCTAAGATTTGCACATCAAAAGGAAACCTAAAAGTAATGGTTAGCTACTCGTATTATGTCTAATATTTTTGTCTATTTATTCTCCTAAAGCAACTTGACACTCTAAAGGTTGTTTCATTCAAATATAAGTAAGAGGGTCCATCAAATACTAATGTAACTACAAATCCAACATGCCATCATATTACATTAAAAAGTTCAAGATTTTAAAAGGAATTTTTTGATTGGGAAAACTACTCCAAAGGGTATTTATTGATAGAAGAAAATAAATTTAGCTTTGGCATTTATCCTTTTTTTTTTCTCTCCCCATGTTTATCTTCCCCAGGAATGATTTCTCCGATTAATCTAAGTTTTATTCTATGAGCAGTCAAAAAGCACACTGTTAAACTTTTTTAAAGGGATAACCCACAGGATGTACACTTAGCATAAGTAAAAGGAAATCAAAAGCTGCCTAAAGTTGAATAATTTTAAATTGCTGTATTTTTTTTAAGAATGAACTTTTTAATGAAATTAGTTTTTAATCATCATTCAAAAATGAAACTAAAGCTTGCCTTAGCAAGTAAATGTACATATCCAACTACAGAAAAAGTATACTTTGAGCAGAGCAACAAATTACCTTCTCCTTACTTAACTGCAATGATGTAAGTAATTCATTCCACTTAATCATGAGAATTGCAAAATTAAAGTAAAAATAAGGTTATTGTCTCTCTAGTTTTTCATTAAATAAAAATTACTTAAAGACCAGAATTAAAGATTTCAGTTTCTTTGGAAATCAATCCACTATAAGGAAAATAGTCAAGATATATTCAAGAACAATATTAACATCTATTGTAAATTAAACTGAGATAACTTTTCTGTGGAATAGTATATTGAACAAAGTAGAAAAAACTAATTTGAAACAAACTAAAAAAAATAAAAATGATGCACATATAAACAAGGAAAAATTTACTTTAGGGAAATAAACAAGTTTAGTTGATTGCTGTTCAAACTGGTGACCTCTTACATTGCCCCCAATATCTTCTATCTATCTCCACTTGCTACCACACTTGAGGCATATTTCAATGAAAGATTAAACATTAACCTTTCATTAATATGCCAGGAACACTTACCGATTTCTCAGGGTCTTGTGCTCCGGAAGCTGCAACCCTGAGTTCCAAATCCTTTTCTCTAAATAATATCAAAATTTTATATATTAAAAAATTCTAGTCAACACTATCAGAATCATAAGCATTACTGAAACAAACCTATACACAAAGTCCATGTAATAACATCTCCAAATACAAATAATTCCCTTAACTGACAGTAAAGCCTTAAATAACTCTGAAAACTAAATTTTCTGATTTGGTGCGAAGTAAACTAGATTTCACATGTAAACTGATTTCCAATAAACTTCAAAGCCTAAGCAATTCACACAGAATAAAGAACGGAAGTAAAACAAAATCTTCACTTTGTGAAATAAATAAACAACTCCTTTTAGGATATATGCATATTTTCAGTTAGCAAAAAGGGTAAAATACTAAAAATTAATACTGTACTTTCTAATATGGGTTTTTAAGAAAATGTTAACAATGGCTAATATCAGATAGTAGATATTGGCTTCCTCTAAGATAGAGGGGAAAAGGCAAAACTAGAAGATAATGGTCTCAAAGTCTCTAAAACCAAGATATCTATTCCTAATTTTAAACTGTATTAATATTTCACAGGTATTTCTACAAAAAAGAATTACAAACACTAAGACTTGTATACAATATAAATACCTGTGAATTTATCAATGATTATTTTTATACTGCATATATGTATGTACCGTTTTACATTGTTAAAATAGAAAATACTTTTATTTTGTATTTCTTATCATATATGGGATAATATGGTGGGCATGCAGATAACATTAAATGCTACCCTAAATCAATAATTGAAGAAATTAATGCCAATATGTAAAAGGCCTGTTACAGAATATATACAGTCTCATTCGTTACCTCTGACAAAGAAAATGAACACTCTCATAGTATTTACCCTGATTCACAATGTGCAGATTGAAATCTAAGTGATTTACAAATACAAAATCGTATTAAGAAAAATATCCCCTTATTTTACTATGTAAGAGTTACCGCCATGTCATTTTACGCAAATGCATTTTAAATTCAAAACATCTCTTTTTAAATGCAAACCTTTCATTACCGTCTCTTGTTCTTCTGTTGTTCAGCCATTTGTTCCAATAGTTCTAATCTGTATTTCTCTTTCCTTCTCTGAATAAGTTCTCGATCTTCACCTCCTAGAAAGTGAAAAAAATGTAATCGTAATTCTTGAGCACATATGCAACTAGAAACTCAAATAATTTTCAACCTCCATTTTAAATTACTATATCATAATTACTGCATAAGCAAAATATAGAAAGTAAAATAATATGCATCATTACCGCTTCAACAATTTCATAATTTATGAATATCTACTCTGTCTCAAATACAGACATATTAATCCTTCCCAAACCTGTACATTTAGCCAAAAATCTTCTTAAGAGAATACTCTAATCCCCGTCCTCATGTTTCCAATAATTGGGATACCATCTCCACTATTATCTCCCATAAGCCCCTTCAATTTAACAAGTGTATCCAAAGGAACATCTCAAAAGTAACTGCCCCCCTTTGTTTTCTGTTAATGGCCCAATAATCAAGCCAAAAACCCTCACTGTAACTTTGATTGTTCCTCCTCTCTTATTCACGCCACATAAGGACCCTCTTTTCTATTCTCACGGCATTAACCTTGGTTAGGACCTCTCCACACTTCACCTGGATTGTAGCAATAACCTCCTAACTAGTCTCCCGAACTTCCCCTCTCTCTGCTCCAATCCATCCAGCACACGTAAGACTGAATCACACTGGCGCCCTGCTCAAAAAACTTTAATGGTCACCTCAATTCTACAGGAGGAAACTCCTCTCTCTCTCTCTCTCTCTCTCTCTCTCTCTCTCTCTCTCTCTCTCTCCCCGCCCTCCCCCCTGGTATCACATGTGAAAATCCAGTTGTGCAAACATTTTGGATCCACAGAAGATTATTATTGCATATGTTAATGACACAAAATAACCTTTTAATCTAGATATGCATGATCTAGAACACTAACAAATCCAGGATATCAAAAAGGCAACTGAACCAGCAATGTCTCCACTAACTTATTAGCCTTGCAACCATCAGTGGACAAACAGAGTTTCTCCATTAAGCATAGATGTCAGCAAGAGTGGAGCTCTCATAGGGAGGAACATGAATTACGAGTATGTTAAAGCTAATAATAATGCTTTATAATCAAAGTAGATACAGGATATCCATTCTGCTTTTGATCGTGATGGAGTAACAGCCATAGAACTTAACCTCCCACCATAAAAAAATCAATAAAAGTAGGCAAAATATACGAAATAACTTTTTCAGACAATGGGCAACAGGCAGTACAGGACTGTAATACCTGAGAGAAGAAAAACAAATGAGGTGAGCTCTTAAGCAATCCCGTTCCAAACACAGGTACAAGGAGGGAGAACCCAAATGAAACTGGGAAACTGAGCTAAATTGAGCAGATAAAGATCAAAATTCAGGAAGGCTAAAATGCTGGCAGTTTAGGGCAAAGATCCAAAAAGAAGCATAAAAAGAGGTTTAGAAATCCATAGAGGGATCCTTCTGATTTTACTGCGCACGCAGAGTGAAACCCCATTAGACTGAGCAAAAAGAACTATGGAGGACACGAAAACTGAACAATTCTCAGACCTCAAGCAAAGTGCAGAGAAATTCAAGCTCAAGCCAGCTAGAGTGGCGTTCTCGGTGATGCCCAAGGGTCTTCAGGGAAGATCCCAGAAAGGTGACTCTACAGTAGTAGGGCTGAACTACCCTGGAAAGAAGGCTACTCTAGATGTCCCAGCTAAGCTTAAAATAAGGCCTCACAAAGACTGATCCTTAAGTAACAGAAAAACTTGACTGTGGGAGACAAAATTCTTAGATCCAATGTTCCCTGCCTTCTCATGCTGACTCCCTGTATAGACCCCTCCCCTTGAGTGTGGGCAGGACCTATGACTTCCTTCTAGCCAAGAGAATATGGCAAAGGTGAAAGGAATTTGAAGATGTAATTAAGGTACCAAATCAATTTTGAATCAATCAAAAGGGAGATTATCTTGGGTGGGCCTGATCTTATCAGGTAAAAGCCAACCCTGAGTTTAGAGAGTCTCCTTGCCGACATGATAAAGTGAGCAGCCAGGGTGAGGAAGCCCACAGGGCAAGAAACAGCATTTGGCCTCCAGGAAGTGTGGGAGCTTCCAGCCAGCATCCAGTAAAAAGCCAAGGCCCTTAAGAACAGAGCCACAAGGAAGTGAATTCGGCCAACAACCTGAATGGGCTTAGAAGTAGAGGCTTCCCATTCAAGCCTCCATCCTGACTGACACCTGGATGTGTGACCCTGAGCAAAAGACCCAACTAAATTCCTCACCCACAGAAATTGAGATTATGTGGGATGTTTTGAGCCACTAAATTTGTGCTAATCTGTGATACAGCAATAGAAAACTAATAGTGAGCCATAACCATCAGAAAAGTTAGTCAATAGAAAACACCACATAAACAACAGAGATGATGGAACAACAAGGATGTTAAAAAAGCCACAACGGGGCCAGCCGAGTGGCGCGTTGGTTGGGAGCTGGCCTGGGACGCCAGAGGGCCCTGGTTCGGATCCCACATATGAGGGCGGTGACACTGCCCTCTACAGCTAAGATGCTGAACAACAGCTCAACCTGGAGCTGGGCTGCCGTGGGTCGCTGGCGACAGCGTAGGCTGCAACCCCTGTGGCAGTGGGTTGCCATGGGCTACTGTATGTAGCCAGCAGCCAGCGTGAGTGGCCAGCAGTGGCAGTGAGCAGCCGTCCAGAAGCCAGCGACTGATCTGCCTCACCCGGGAAGAGCGCAACGATGGTGCCAACTTGGGCCAGTGAAGCAACGTCCTCCACAACTAGATTGAAGAACAAAACGACAGCAACTTGTCTGTTCCCCTTTCCCCAATTCCCCAGCGCTGTTCCCATCCCCAATTCCCCAATAAAAAAATCTTAAAAAAAAAAGCTACAGCTGTGCCCAAGTATTTCAGTGAGAAGAGGAATGCCATGAGGAGAAAATGGAAGCTATCATTAAAGAACCAAATGGAAATTTCTGCTTCTGCTTAGAAAGTAGAAAGCCACAAAACTATTCAAACTGTACAATGGGAAAAAGCTCAGTTGCCTACAAAAATCATAACTTTTAAAAAGTCTATCAGAGAGCTGAGGTTACAAGCAACTCGATAAACTGAATTCCAAAGGGTATCAAAACCAATCCAAAGAAAGATGGGTGCTTTACCTTTCCCAGATACACAGAAACAGGCAGCTGCCTTAAAAGCAGGCAAGAAGAAAGCAGCTGAAATGTTAAGAATCCTTAAAGCTCTGTGTGGGCTGGCGTAATGTGCCGACTCGCAGGAAGCCCAGACACCAGAGGAATCTGCACTCAATTGCCCTCCTCCACCAGGATGCTCAAGAGACTGGAGATGGGGCCACACACGAGGCCTGAAAGAGACCCTTCCGAGGCCCCAAAACGCTGCCTGTTTTCCAGACTCTTCTCTCACACAAAACAACAGAGAGCCGTAATCTACTTGCTGAAGGGCAGAAACCTGTTAAATCCAGCATTCTACATCACATACAAAGCAAAGATCTGTTACTGTTAGGTGAAGGCAGGAAATTCTCACACAAAGCCCTCCACAGACAACGCAGTTTGGCTGCCACTCTGGGGAGGGGCAGGGAATTAGAAAATCCCTCCAGCACTCCAGGCCTCACACTAAGAATAAGGCAGTCGGAGAATTGAACACTTTTCTTTAAGCAACTGGTAGAAAAACAGTTAAAAACAATTAAGGATGTATATAAGATGTGAACATTATTATCACCCAATTGATTTCACTGATATTTATAAACGACTACACTGAACAACCATGCATCTAGACTCTATATTCTGAGCCATTAAAAACTTTCATTTAAAAAATTCAAATTTGAAATAATTGAATTTATACAAATTATTTTTCTCAGACCACAGGGGGATTAAACGGTCAATAACAAAAAGAAATTTAAACATATACTTCTAAATAACCCATGATTGTTATAAACCCCAAAAAAATATATTATCTTTGCTCTAAGTAGTCAACTGTCTTAATTTTTTTAAATAAAGCAAAGGGCTCCAATGAGATCCTTGGGCAAAATTATATTGGGTTGTCAGAAAAGTCATGACGTATTTTTTGTTTTTCATTGCAAAACTGTGTCATGACTTTTCCGACAACCCAATAGGAAGACAAATTTCAGTTCAATTGAAATGAGAATATAATAACAATCAGAGAGTCACCTAAAGATGGAATGTGCTGCTTCTGGAGGGAGTAAATTTCCTATGGGTATATACGACTATGAGCTAGAGGAAAATATATAACTGTGAGAGATCAATCAATCACTGGACTAAATGGCTTGAATGGTTTGTTTGAAACATTCGAATCTATTATCTCACCAAATATTCTTCCATAATTCCTGGATTGCATTAATGATAAGTTCCTAGCATTTATCTTTAAAACTTCAATTTACTGATAAAATTATTTGTCAGTGGGCTCAATACAGAAAGCCACTTCTCCAATTTTTATCATGTTTAACAAAATACATCATAAAAATGAAGCCTTTCCTCTGACCTACTGGTAGGTTAAATTGCTTAATTCTTACTTAAATAAATTACACTAGAATAACACACCAGGTACCAGGCCATTTTTCTCACAATAACCATTTCAAAGAAACAAAGGTCTGAGAATATCATGCAATTATATACCTCTAAGCCAAGATTTAAATTACAGACTGCTTTTAGGTTGAATGAACCTAAACTGTTTTCCAATTTTCTCATATGCTTCACTAAAACCAAATTTCAGGTAATTTTTTCTAATAGTTTTTACACAAAGAACAGACCTGTTTTCTATTTAAAGTTACACACAAGAAATAAGGCTCTCTTCACATTTTATGAAATTAAATTGTGACAAGATAGCAAATCAACATGCTTATCTTAAGCAATGTCCTTCATTTCTAATAAAATAAAGAGAAAATGTGCATTATGATCATGATTTGAACAAAACACCTCAGAAACTACATGGAAAGAACATGGAAAAGACTGAACAGTCTAAACAGATAAACATCAAAAAATAAAAAGGTTTATAGTTCAGGGGAATTAAACTAAAGTGTAAGGTAGTTTTTTGCTCGCTAAAGAAGCAAGACAAAGAATGAAGAAAAAAAAACTATCACATATAAAACAGAATATAAGAAATAGCCACACTACAACAAAATGCTAATGTACGAAATTAAAAGCTTATTACTGAAATTAATATTTCATTTATCATATATTGAAAACTCATCACTACATAAAAGTTATTCAGCTTTAAAATTAGACTGAGCTATATAACACATTTTAAATACTTAGCATGCTGTCTACCATAAAGTAGGCACTAGATAAAAGGTTTTCTATTATCAGTATGAGTAATATTAATTACAACTCTGAGTTCTCACTAAAGACCTTTTATAAAAAACACTGCAGGGCCGGTTGAGTGGCTCAGTTGGTTAAGAGCTTGCTCAAGAGTGTGAGCTCTGAGCAACAGGGTCGCTAGTTTGATTCCCGGCCCAAGCTGAGCTGCCCAAGAGGTGGCAGGATGGCTCAGCCAAAAAAAAAACCCACCACTGCAAAAGTCTAATCACCTGGAAGTTGTGTACATACCAAAGAGCATCCCCACAAAGGGACTACATATCTCTCGGTTAGATTTGGATGGTTCATTGTCTGGAGCACTGAAACAAAAACAAAAAGAATTAGAGCCCAAATAATTTTCAGGAAACAAAAATTTAGAGTAAAATGTAAGTATGAGATATTGGCCTTTCAAAGTACTATGGATACTATAATAGTTACATATTTTTAAAGTTAGGGTAAAATCATGGCATTTTATCTCTTTATACAGTGGGACCCCAATGTATTCAGGCTCTCTATATATAACCTTTTTCTTCAGACCACTTCATTGGCTCTATAGATACCCAATAAAACCTTTTTTCTTTTTTACATAATAACAGTTACCCGAATAAAGAAAAAGAATATAAGTACACATAAATCCTTAAAAAAATATAGAGAAAGGTGGTACCTAGGCACACACGGAAGATCATGCCTAAAAGACTACTTCCTTGAAAGACAACTTCCTTACAGAAACCTTCATTATTTAGTTCCACACAGCACGTTCTCCTATCTCAAGCACTTGTATAAATTACTTTTCTTAAAATAGACACCTTTCCTGTCACATGGCAGTATCTTCATGATACACTATAGATTCAGAACGATTTATTCTTATTATGATACAAAAAAGCCACTAAAATGATAAAAACTATAGAGAACATGCATATAAAATACATATAATTTTCTTTCTTTTCAACAGGACACAATTATGTCTGAGCACTAATTTTACAGAGTAATTATAAAAGTTATCTACTCAATAAGATGAAAATTGAAACCGAAGTTCTGAAAGTAAAACTCATATCGCAGGAACAGTTTCAATTTATTTCCAGTCAAGATACATCACTCCCATAACTCCAAGATATTTTAAACTGATTATCAGTCCATTAAATTCCATGTTTATTTCTCCTTTCATTAGTGCAAACAAATTTATATACTTTATAATAATAGGGACTTACACAGAACATCTTGGCATATAATTATAATCAAAACTTGCTGTTCAAAAAAATGCTGTAAAGTGCTATAAATTTTCATTTAACGCATCTTTTCCCTTTAATTTATTTCTCACTAATAAGGCTGTGAATATACTACACTGTTCTACTTTTTCAGTAAGCCAGTTTTCACAGGTGCTGCTTCCCAGTGTAATGACTCAAGGGCAGGATTTATATTCCATACTGTACCTTTTTTCTCCAGCAGATGAAATTCGGATGTTTGACTGATCTGTGACTTCACCACCATGCTCCACAGGAGGTGCGTTCCCTCGTCTGTTCCCGAACATCCTTAAAAACACATCAGCTTATAGACCTTGTTCCACATACAGTGGATCTTCTTATCTCTCTTTGGTGTTTTTACATTTGATGTTGGAAATAGTAAAGGGAACATGAAGCTAAAAATAAAGTTTTAATGTAAATATGTTCTAAAATTCAAATGAGATTTGATTCAAGTATGGTCTGCTGGTTAGTAAGAGATGCTAAGAGTTTCTCAGTCTTTAAAACAAAAGGAGATTGTTATGAATTATTTCAATATAACTTTTAGAAATTTTAATTTGAAAATTATGCATACCCTAAGATGTCTTATCATTCCCTTATTCAAAGAACATTTATTGAGCACCTACTACATGCCAAGTACCATTCTAGGCACTGGGTATATGGATATGAGCCTTGCCCTCATGAAAATTATAGTCACATTTCAAAATGAGATCATTTTTTTTTTAATTCAAAATTCATAGATTCTGGGAATTATTTCACTGTATACAAACCTTTTTAACTTAAAAATATAGCAGCACACTTAATATTTATTTAAATCAAATGTAGCAAGCCATAACATTTGCTAACAGTGTAAATCACATGACAGAATAAATATTAGCAACAGGTGCATAAAAAACATTATAAACAAACAGGCTGATGCATGGGTAGAAAATGATAGTTTACTTACAAGGTCACAACAAGCAAAAAAGATTAGAATGATTTTTTTTTGTCCTTCTTCAGAATCCTTTCCAGAAAATAATTTTTAAAAAATGTTTTTCAATTAATTTTTTTTTCCATTTGGCAAACATTGATTTCTTTAGTTTAATATCGCATTCCAGAGAAACAACATGACTATGTGCACCAACATTTATCAGCATCCATGGAAATCAGCATTTCACGAGTCATATTTCTTTACATGGCAGTCAAACTATACTGTCTCTCAAGGGGGCTACTAGAAAGAAATATGGCTGTTAAAGTATTGTTTAATATTTTAGGTGGATTTCATTATCACATTAATAAAAATGGTAATTTTCAGAAGAAAAGGGATTTTCTGACTCTCCACAGCCAGCATACAAAATTGTTTCTTCATTTGTTTCCATCACACAAGCCACTGTCAATATCATCTAAAAAGAAATGGCTCTACAGAACTGTAACCTTAATACTGTGTGACCTGGCATGACATAAATGGCTTCCATTTTTCATCCATATCTAAAACAACAGAACCCTCCACAAGCCCTTTCAAAAAAGAACTTCACATTTCAATTTCTCAAAACACAGCTGGTTATATATCTAAAGTCTAGGTGCCCCAATCTCTCCTTGAAACTCACACATTAGTTTAGTGCCATTCCCTACTACCACTCAAAGAACGGATACATACAAACTCAAATTCAAATTTTAATTAACATTGCCAGGCAACCAGATTTAGTTGTGCTAAAGCTACATGGATACACACATGCAGAAAACAGTTAGCAGAGCAGGCCTGAGATTGCCTATCCTTAGAAAGGCTTATGTGCAAGGCTGACCCTTGACCGGTACCTGGGAACACAGATTTGGGAAGGGGTCCCACCATTCCAAGAACTGATGAGTGACGCGCTGTGCCTAAACCATGTAGCGGACGCTGAACCTCTGCGTTCCTTCAGGGAATCGGGAATTTTGGCACAACTAGGAAAAGGGTGCCTCGGTGAGCAGCCCCCAATAAAAACACTGGACACTGAGTCTCTAATGAGCTTTCTTGGGAGTCAACATTTCACCCACGTTGTCGCAATTCAACACTGGAGGAGCTAAACATGTCCTGTGCGACTCCACTGGGAGAAAACTCTTGGAAGTTTGTGCCTGGTTTCCTTTGGACTTTGTCCCATGTGCCGCTTTCCTTTGCTGATTTTACTTTATATCATTTCAACCGTAACAAATCATAGCCAAGAATAAAACTATATATACAAAGTCCTGTGAGTCCTTCTGGCGAATCCCCAAACATGGCGGTGATCTTGCAAACGCACAACACAACAAACAAAAGTAAATTTGTTGATATGGTACAGTGGTGTCTATGGCTATGAGTTTTCAAATATAGAAAACACTTAAAGTTATAAATTTTTAGAAACATAACTTGGGATTAAATCAGAATTAACCATAATTAAAAGCTACTTACACATACAAAAATTCTAAAATTTATCAAAGAGCTTGTGGCTTCCTACCTTTTTAGTGGAGTTGGCTAAAGACAACATTTGGACTTGCAATTCTAGCATATCCTTATACAACTGTACCCAAAGCATCTACACTAAAACATGTTTTATAGGTTCTTCAGTATATATAGACATCTTAATAAAGCAAATACTGTAAGCACATTTTCAAAGTTCATTCTAATTAAAGAAATTTAAGAAATGATTTTATTTATGTATATGATGAAGGTCTCTTTGCTAAATTCTCCAGTAAAATCACAAAGATTTCCTAATGAACAGCCCATATGAAAGATAGTTCAAGGTGGTGTATCCTTTCACTAAAGAAAAATAATTTATTAAAAAAATGATACAAGTCCCTTCTGTCCCTGGTAATTACGATAAAATCAAAACTGGAGAAATGTTTAAGAGGCCAACAAAGAGCAGAGATATGCATTTCACTAAAAAGGATAAAATAAAATCGTAAGGCCTTCTATTTAATTTTATGAAATGACTGATATGATTGTGCTTATTTTGCGAAATCATGGAAAACTTACTATTTATAAATAGTAAAGAGTCCATAAACTTTTTTCAAGTTACTAATATAAGACCAAAAAAAACAACAACAACATGACCTAGAACAGAATATAACAAGCTATGAAGCCAAATTAGTTTGGGAAGTTAGCCACCGTATTTTCTATTAAAATATCCCTATAATTGCAATGGCATTTCCTTCATTCACTGAAGTTACTTTCATATTTGTAATAAATTTAGCATTTAATGACTCGGCTACCTCTGTTAGTTCACTTTAACAGCATTTATGGTGGCCTTCCAATATATTTTAGAAACCTTTACTGAGGTAAATGGAGTCCTCTCTGAAGAGAGGAAGTGGTGAGAGCCGGCACTTTTAACACTGCCATCTCTCTCTACAATCCTCTCAACATCAACAGGCGACTAACAGATGGTAATCTCCAGAGGTAATGAACTCACTAACTGTTTAATAACAGCCTGATTTAGTCAAAGTGGGAGTTCAGTTAGGTTCAGTTTGTCCCTGAGAAGTCCTCTCTGTTTAGCTGTGGCTTTAGAGCCAGTGCCAGATTAAAACTATCCCTGTGACCGACCCACAACCATCTAAATAATCTATGGCCTTAAATCTACGGGTTCACTTAACACACACCTCAATCCATTTAGGTTTTGTCAGACCTCATAAAAGAAAAAATTTGCTTACTTTGACAGTGCATATCATATTTGATTGAGAGTATGACTGTAAAATAGTTTCATCATTCTACTATCAAAAACAAAAAGTTAGGGCCGGCCGAGTGGCACATTGGTTAAGAGCTGGCTTGGGACGCCAGAGGGTCCTGGTTCGGATCCCACATATGAGGGCCAGTGACACTGCCCTCCACAGCTAAGATGCTGAACAACAGCTCAACCTGGAGCTGGGCTGCCGTGAGTCGCTGGCCACGGCGTAGGCTGCAGCCCCTGTGGCAGTGGGTTGCCATGGGCTACCGTGTGTAGCCAGCAGCCAGCATGAGTGGCTAGCAGCCGCCATGAGCAGCAGTTCAGAAGCTGGCGACTGATCTGCCTCTCCCGGGAAGAGCGCAATGATGGTGCCAACTTGGGCCAGTGAAGCAACGTGCTCCACAACTAGACTGAAGAACAAAAGGACAGCAACTTGTCTGTTCGCACTCCCCCAATTCCCCAGCACTGTTCCCATCCCCCAATTCCCCAATAAAAGTCTTAAAAAAAAAAAAAAGTTAAATGTTATGTTAAGTGGCAAAAGTTTTTTCTCTATTTCCTTGAAGATGTGGGTGAATAACTAGTTAATTAAGTTCAAATCTCAATGCCCAAAGAAACCAGGTATGGGATAAAGGTCAAGTTTACTCACTCCAAAAATTAACACCTGTGTTTATCTTTAAAAACAAAAATTACTCTCTTAAAGAAGAAAAGCAAATTGTTTAAAATCACAGGTATTTTCAGCTCACTTAAATGTGAATGAACACTCCTAAATAATAATAATTTATATTTTTTTCTTAAAAAACTACAGAATCAAACTACTTCAGAAATAAATTTACAATGTTTATGCTGTCAAAAATAACACATTATAAAAATAAAATATTTACCATCTATTGGTCCTAGATTAAAATAGCTCATAGGACGGGAGAATCAAATTTCTCCTTACTTAAATCATTTAATTCATACTAATGGTTACACCACTTTGTTTTCATATAAAGAATTTCCCTAATGTGAACAAATTCTGCTGTTAGGGGTACTCGACTATAAAAGTTAAAAGAAAAATACTAAGCTGTTAACTGAGTCACCACTGTTCTCATTATTTTCAGTTCTTACCCAATTTTTATATTCCCTTTAATTCGATAACATTGTTTTCTAAAATCAACCCATCTTTAAAATGGGAGAAATAATATTAAAATGGTCCTTCCAAAGATAAATGAAAATTTACTAAAGAAAAAAAGTAATGCCAAGCTAAATAACTCATGTTCTAATAAACCATTTCTCCTTGCTTTCGTCTTCATAGCAAGCATGCACACATCTTAGAATGTCCTACACTAAAAATTTATGTGCCTAATACACAGATTTTAATTTCAGATGGAGTTTTAGCTCAGAATTTTATTAAATGACTACTAAGATAAAAAATAGTAAATATCAAGAGTTAAACAGAAGTGCTAATTGCATTAATCACATAAAAACTAAAAAAACAGCATTTTTTAATGCTAACATTTTCTTTTACTCATTAACATTGGTTATAAAGTAAAACATAATACGGTAATATATTAACTTCTACAGCTCAAGTTAATAAATAATAAAGACTAGGATGGTTATATTTTAAAAGTGCCTACAAATTTCAAAGTATTATAAGACATACTATTACATTCAACCTTAGACAGCTCCTAAAACATTATAAATTTTACTTAAGTTGGTAAATATATAATAAATAATAAATAATACACACAGGCACACCACACACACACACACACACACACACACACACACACACACACACAGAATGCAACTGTCAAGCAAAGTGCTAACCACCTTGTTAACTATTAAAAACAGTGCCAATGATTAATGATTAGTTTAGGAAAGTAAAATCATTTCTGGGCTTTAGTTTTCCCATATTTAAGGTAGGGAAAAATGTTTCCACACACAATGCAATATACAGATGATGCATTATCATAAAATTGTATACTTGAAACCTATGTAACTTTACTAACCAATGTCACTGCAATAAATTTAATTAAAAAAAGACATTACGGTATGTGGAAAAGTTTATAAGTTAACTTAGAAAAAAACTGAGTCCCAAAGTATAAAAATCAAAAATCATTAAAACTCAAAAGGAGAATTTATGACATGCTGACTTTTAGAAGAAAAAAAGAAACATGGGAAACTTAAAAGGACAAAGGAAAATTAATTTTGTACTTCTCACAATCAGTTATAATTATTTTTCTGTCAAGAACTTAAGGTTAAGATTATAGTATATTAAGAATAATGATTAGAGAAAGAGACCAAATGCACATTTGTCTACATATTACACATTTCTTTACCCTCTTTCACTAACAAGTAGTCATTTTCCCTATTAACCAACTCTGCCTGCTAAATAAAAACTACTGAATGATCGATGTGAATTTTTTTTTTTGCTGTAAAAAAGAATCTACAAATCTAAAATACAGAAATTCAATTTTAACCTCAATTGACATAAAGACATATGTGAAAAATCTTACATTTAGAAATATGCGCATTAACGAAATGGAAGTAACACAATGATTTATATTTTGAAGAAATACTTTTAAAAACTTTGAAATGTGTAACAGGAATTACTCTCACTCACCCTCACGCTTAATCTGAAAATACTACTTGAGGAAGGTAATATAGAAAGCTCATTTCGTTTATGGGATACATAAGAAAATAAAACAGTTCTCAAATAATCAGGCTGAAATTCATTTGTTAGCTCACATATAAAATTATCATGGTATAATTACAAAAACAATAGATTAAAATATACAAAAAACAAAGAAACAACCATCATAGTAAGTTTCTTGAAATTCCAAACATAGGAAAAAAGTTCTCGTGTATAAAGATTTATTTTAATTTAGGTAGCCTTTGAATATCTTCTGATATAAATAAACATTTTCAAATATAACACATAATAGGACTTGAAGCATTTTCTGAAGTACAGTTAGATTAAAATCAGGGATAACTATAATTGGCATTGCAAAATTCTAATCCTTCACTCAAATTACCTAAATCAGGGTGAATATTAAAAAGATCGGGTGAGCAGGACATAATAGCTACAGAATAAAGAGTAGAAGACAAAGAACTGTAAAGGCTTTCTATTATTATTAATTAGAATACTAAATGTGCAGCATTACGTCTCAAAAAGTTTCCTAAAATACTAAAAAATGTAATCTATTTGGACTAATATATGAAGCCAGTCCCATTAACTGCTCAAAATTTAGATGTAAGCCTCTCAAGTTAAAAAGTGACAACTAGGGGACCCTGTCACATTTCTATCTCCAAATCAAAAGTTTGGTTGAAGTATAGCAAGTTTTAAGTATTAACACAAATGACTAAAAATAAAAAATTACAAATAGCATTATAAAAACAATCATCCAAGGGAACTGAAAAGCATCTGAAAAGCTGATCAAAAAATTAGTGCCATTTCACTTAAATAAATGTTTAATAAGTAACTTAAAAACAAGGAAATGTTTTGATAGAAAGGCTTAGAGCATAGGAACATTACAGTAATAATGTGTATTTCATCTATTTTAAGGTATCATTTTTCCCCCACATTCTAACTTCTGAAACTGGGATGGCCATCAACCTCATTTTAAGTCAAATTATTGGCTAGAAGAGAAGTTATTCTTCCCCTGCCAGTCACTTTGGGGCACTATGAATGTCAGACAACGAAATTCTCACCTCGAGTTTTTGTTTGTTTTGTTTTTTGACAATACAAATTCGGACTGCAAACCTGAATCAGTGTTGGCTTGCCATTTAAATTCTCAGGGAAGTTTCTTTGTTTTGTTTTTTTATTCTCCTCCACTCAGTGCTGAGGTTGAGACATGGAAGTTTCTTTTCTGTCCCCTTCTGTGGGAAATTTTATTTCCCATTTAATTTTAAGTAAAGGTTGTAGCCTTCCAGTGTTCCAGCTTTATAACAGGGTCCTTTTCTACTCATCTTGGGTGTTTTCTTTTTTACCTCAGTGGCACATAATATAATGGTGCGTCTTAGAATTAATCAAATATGTAAATCAAATGAAACTGCTCCCTAATATGATAAAAAGTAACAGCAGTAATATTAAGCAAGAAAAGAAAAATGAAGTTGTAAATACCTGTCATTGGTATACACTCTCAAAGGTCTTCTATCAAAATCACTCTCGTATCTAAACCTCTCGTCCATTTCTTCACTTACTTCAGGATCTTGGTCTGGTCTATAACACTGTCTGTCAAAAACACGATCCTCATTAAACCCGTGAAATCTTCTATCTGGAATGTCAACCTTGCTGGCAAGCCTGTGATGTTTTTTATTAGAAATGCCTGCTTCTTCATTAGTTTTTTTAATGATTCTTCTATTCCTTAATTCAATTTCATCATCTAGTTGTCGATATCTGTCCTCCTCCAGTCGTCTTTGGTTTAGAAGCTCTTCATATGCCTCCAAAGGAGTTAAAACATCTCTTCTAGGACCCTCTGAATTTTCCAAAGATGCTTGTATTTGTGAAGCTAAATCAGGCTTAACCTGACTAATAGGTTTTTTATTTCTCTGACTCTTGTGCTGATCAATTAAAAAGAAAAAAAAAGAAACAGGTCTTAATGAGATGCTATTTCTTAAAAGGTAGGTAAACCCTCAAATGATGCTCAGTCTATTTATCATCTAAGCTCTAAGGTTTAATTACCCGTAAGAATTACCTTATCTTTAGAAAAAAGCTTCAGAAAACTCACCCTTCAATGAAACTTAATAAATATCAACTAAACAGACAACAGTAATATAAGTAGTTATAAGATATAAGTTATAAGGTAAGTAGTTATAAAAACAGAAGATAAACTAAATGCAAATTCCTACCCCAGGAGATATTTTAAGCATATTTTGGCAGCTAAATATTGCTTCAAAATGTTTCAAATTAAATTCTTTCTCAATACAAAGAATACAGAAGGTGGTAAATTTTTTGGCCCTAGTTACATCCACCATCCTTAAATTTGGAAAATATATAGCTAGAAATTGTCAATATAAATAAAACACTTAAATAAACAAAAATCACTTAAAACCAACCTCTTAAATTAAATTCCCCCCACAAAGTTAGTTAAAAAGTACGGTAAGTTCTTCAATAAAACATTTGCACAACTAAATATTTAAATGTCCTGTATTTGGCTCAATTTGGCTTAATTTTTAAAATATTTACATAAAACCTAATGAAATGTCTAACACATAAAAATATTTTCAAGTAAATACAAAATATTTGACTTGTGGTGTTAAAGATTTACTTTAAAATCAAAACCTACCTCAGTACTGTTTTCAACCTGCCTGAATTTTTCAGTGGATTCTTCCTTGCCCCTGAGAAATTGATTGTATTCTCTGTTACGTTCAAGTTTCAACCTTTCCTTAAAATAGACACCAAAAGACAATGTTAACTTCAACTTTAGAATAAAGTATCTTCATCAAAGCAGACTCATACAAATCAGAGATCTTGCCCAGAATCAAGTTTTACTAATGTCAAGGATCTAAGTAGTTGCAAGGCACAGGAGGGGTAGGGGGAGGTTATAAACCATCAACTCAATTACCCTTTCTTGCCACATTAAAATACGCATTACTACATGCTTAGGTCTAGATTAACACGAGGTCTCTAATAGAAGGGTCTCCATGTTACACTCCAGTAGTTATATAGCTTAGATGACATTTTCCAAGGAACCATGCCCCATAAATCCATGGATTCTAGGTTTGTTTACCAATAGCAGCCCTCGATAGTCTAAGTGCACTCTGCTAAAAGCATCATAAATAAATTTTTCCCACTAGTAAATACATGACTGTGTTTGCCAGGAAGTCTGTCATTAGCATGTTTCCAAGGAGACCTGACAGATTACTTTTCTTCTTTCCCTCCCGGGGGTATCTCCTGCCCCAATCCCCCATCCCATCCCAAAAGACCTGCTGCTAACCATTTCTATCCCAAGGCTAAAGAAGGATCCTTATTGTATTTTAAACATAAAAAGGTAAAACTGTCATAGACAATAAAATATTGTAATGTATGTGTTTTGTTGAAACCTCTAAAGAGGATGCCATGTACTTGGAGTGACACCTCCAATGTATCCCAGACCCCCACCCTACAGAAAACAGAAGCACAGTATGCTCCCATTCACTCATCTCACTGTCCCAAGGCATAAACATTATAGCCCAGGGTCCACTGTGGAAAAGTGAATTCTGACTATACAACTGATCAACATATTAAAGAAATATATCACATCGTTACAAATGTAATGTTCAAAAAAAATTTAAACAGCACAACTAGAGATTCCACAGATTTTTGGGAAAATATATATATTCAAGTATGGGAAATAAAGTAATTTGTTTGCATTTACAGGAGTATGTTCTTTAATAATTTTGATGCCTCATAAAACTGCTACCCACAATAAACTACTCCTATCCACCTACCTTGGCAGATAACCTCTCACCAATAGGCAGAGAAACTCCCAGAGTAGATGGGTCTGTTTCACTCGTAGATAGAAAATTTTTCTGTATATATACACACATTAAAAAACAAATTACCTAATTGCCTTTATAAAATGTGTTTCATAAATGTGTCTTAAGGTTCGATATTTTAAGCTGTTAGCTCATGCAGAGCAAAAGAATGAAATGGAGATGACGACAGAAACTACAAATCTATAGAGATCATAATTAGAAAAAAAGAATTTGCTTCCAATGAACAATGCACCGAAGAGGAGAATCAGGTCTTAATTTTCATGTGCAATACATATATTACATATTGATTCAAGATGATTTTACAAAGCACGAAAAAAAAACTGTTTCTTAATTCATATTCCTCTTCTAAGCTCATATTCTTCATTTTCAATGCCCTACTATTCTTTAGCTAAGGAAAACTTAAACTTCCTCACGAATATCCTTATGCGTGCTGCAATAATGTTTTATTCTATTCATCTTGTGATTATGAGTGGATATCTACTAAAATGACAGAAAATACAAACTATGAACATTGTTTTTTTATGTGTTCCTCTACTCTTCTTCAGTAAACATTTAGGTAACATAGTATAGTCGACAGAGCATTAGACTAGGAATCTAGTCCTAGGGCCAGTCCCAACACTTCTCAGTGGTGGAACACTGCGCAAGCCACTTACACTCCCTGACAAAGGCTTTCTTATTCCAGAAAATGAGAATGGCATCTGCTCTGCCCACCTACCAAAGCCGGTATATAGGGATCAAGGAAGATTAAACATGGAAAATCTCCTTGAACACATAAATCCCTTATGAAGCAAATGTAAGGGACTAGTAAAAAACACGCACTATCCCCAACTTTCTGGTACTGCTACTTAGAAGTCATATAATCTGGAATAAGTGACTTAACTTCTCTGCCTCAGTTTATCTATAACAGTGATGTCATCTACATCACTAGATTATGAGGATTAAATTAATCAAAACTTATTAACCTGTCTAGCTCCATGCCTTTTATTTATTCATTAAACAAGCAATTATTGACCATTTAATATTTGTCAGTTACTTTTTTAGGTTGTAGGGAGACAAAGATAAGCATATGTTCCCTATATTTAAGAGATTTACAATTCAGTTGGGGAAACAAACATGTAAACAAATAACTACAATACAATGTACTAATAGGGTCATATTCAGAACATTATGGGAACAAATTAATAAAATTAAATTATTAATAGTTTCATTAAATCTAAATTTATGAATAAACTGTTACAAAAAGCTAATTTGAAAGTTAGTGGAACTCAAATTTTACTTGTCAAGGGAAATGATATGACACGTGACTATCCCTGAGCCAGTTAAAACGCCAGTTTATACCAAAGTACACTATAAACATAATCATTTTGTAGAGTTATCCAGGTACAAAAAAACATATTCAGGGTTCCAACCCTGGGAAGAGAGAGAGCACCCTCACCCTTCACTGAGCAATTCCCCCGCTCCCAAAATAGGTCCAGGGTGACGTTTAAAATTTTCCATAAAATTAAAAAATTAACAATACGAGCAATATACTGAGTTTTTCAAAAATTTGATTTTTAGTCATTCACTCATTCATTCGTAAATATTGAGTGCCTACTATGTTCCCAACTGTTCGATACATTTGAGTCTCATCAGTAAAAGAAACCAACAAAATATCCACCTTCCTGAAGCTTACATTCAAGCCGGGGAAATTGACAATAAACATTGGTATGTTAGAAGGTGACAGCACTATGACAAAAAAAATCAAAAGAACTGGCTCCAAGCAGTCCAGGTTTCTTGAGGATGGGAGTGGAACAACAAAAATCTGGAGTTCCCTTTTGGATATGTTCAACATAAGATACCCATTAGATTTCTAAGTGAAAATGTCAAATGGGCAGCCAAATAGAAAAGTTTGAGGTTCAGGAAAGAGGCCTGAGTTGAAAATATAAATTTACTGATTCAATTTAACAACTGTTCTTCTGAGAATATGTTCTTCCTGCATTGTTAGATGGTCGAGCGTTTTTTATTCTAAAAATAGTAAAGAAAATGGTAGAGATGGCAGTTGTTTGTTTTAATGGCTCTCATTGACCAAATTTAAAGATTTGAGGTTTTTTTTAAATACACATGCAATCTACAGCCTGGAAGACACAAGAAATCCAGAAAGAATGAGACTTGTAAAGTGGACATAATCCAGGGGTCGAGGAAGCCACTGCAGCCACCTCCCCATATCCTATATAATTCCCTTTCTCCCTTGCTTTCCTTTCCACTCCCACTTTCTCAGACGGCAACTAAAATTGTCTTTCATATTAACCAACTATTGCCCCTCTACAACTACACTGTTGATAATCCAACACCAAAAACTCCTTCACATCCCTCTGAATTGAAAGATTTGCACTCCTTGATCTCTTCCCCTTTCCACCACTGTTCTTTTTATTAATCATGTATCTATGAAGTAAAAATCCACAAATGAAAATGGCAGGGGTCAGAGGAAAACCGTACCCAATAAAGAGGGAGTGGGGAGCAGAATGAGGACAAGGCCAGAGAGGCACACTGCTGGAGCAAGCAAGACTTCGCGTGCCGTCCTGGACTATTTGAATTTTTATCCTGCAGGCAATGAAGAGACCCTGAAATATTTAAATCAGTACAGGACAGAATCATTCTGGAAAGCAGCATGAAGGGGCCGGCCGAGTGGCGCGATGGTTAAGAACTCGCTGGGGATGCCAGAGGGCCCCGGTTCGGATCCCACATATGAGGGCCAGTGACACTGCCCTCCACAGCTAAGATGCTGAACAACAGCTCAACCTGGAGCTGGGCTGCCGTGAGTCGCCGGCGACGGCATAGACTGCAGCCCCTGTGGCAGTGGGTTGCCATGGGCTACCCTGTGTAGCCAGCAGCCAGCGTGAGCGGCCAGCAGCCGCAGTGAGCGGCCGTCCAGAAGCCAGCGACTGATCTGTCTCGCCCGGGAAGAGCGCAATGATGGTACCAACTTGGACCACTGAAGCCATGTCTTCCACAACTGGACTGAAGAACAAAAGGACAGCAACTTGTCTGTTCCCCTTCCCCCAATTCCCCAGGCTGTTTCTTCCCCAATTCCCCAATAAAAATCTTAAAAAAAAAGAATGGACTGAGAATTAATGAAAAGGGATCAATTAAAAACCTTAGCAGTAATTTAGGACAGTAAGATAAGAGTCTTTAACACACAGAACTAACAGTCCTGAAACCCAGTTATCAAGCTCCTCCCAGGCTGCTCAAGAGAGCAACCTTTGCTGCCTATCCTACACACCAATTTAAAACCCACTGCTGCCCTGCCGGCGGTGTCCGCGGTGCTCTGTGGTAAAGGCGTGGAGTTGGTGGCCACAGCCTTATTGACTGGGATGACCTGCGCTCTGGTTGGAGGCAGAGGAGCCGAGCTGCAGCCATGGCCAGTACAGTGGTAGCAGTTGGATTGACCATCACTGCTGCAGGATTTGTAGGCCGTTATGTTTTGCAAGCCATGAAGCATGTGGAGCCTCAAGTAAAACAAATGTTTCAAAGCCTACCCAAATCCGCCTTCAGCGGTGGCTATTACAGAGGTGGGTTTGAACCCAAAATGACAAAACGAGAAGCAGCATTAATACTAGGTGTGAGCCCTACTGCCAATAAAGGAAAAATAAGAGATGCTCATCGACGAATTATGCTTTTAAATCACCCAGACAAGGGAGGATCTCCTTATATAGCAGCCAAAATCAATGAAGCTAAAGATTTACTAGAAGGTCAAGCTAAAAAATGAAGTAAATGTATGATGAATTTTAAGTTCTTATTAGTTTATGTATGAGTACAAGCTTTTTATAATAAAATGCCTCAAAGCTAAAAAAACAAACAAACAAAAAAACAAAAAAAACCCCACTGCTTACTTGGACCCTGTCCTATCTATAATACATCATTCTTACTACTCACAAAGAATCTAACTCGGTCAGGCTGGTGAACCTAATACGCTTCATTCATAGGAAGCCAGTCTACCCTCAACGTCTTCCTTCATTCCATATTCTCCATCTGAAAGCTTCCTCTCCTCCCTCGATTCGCCCTGGAGGATATCCAAATTCTAGCTATTCTATAATGACTTACAAAATGACGCCTTAAGGCCTTTCCTGATCATTTTATCCTTCTTGTTAGTTGCTACTTCCTAAGTTGTAAGACTGTTATCTCTACAACTAGATTCTACGTCCTTTGAAGACAGAACTCATACCTGATTCATCTTCATGATAAGTGATTAAAAAGTGTTGGTTGAATGGTGAAAGAATATGTGAACTTCTTTTTAAAAACAGTTTTGAAAAACTACAAAACTTTTTCTCTTTGTTTTCCCACATAAACTTACAAGTGCAACCCACAGGTTTAGGTGCAAAATATCAAAGTATCCAAATCCTAACAACACATGGTTCAAAAATGTCAAAATATCTTCAATATTCTATTATTTTATTAATCTTAATGTGATTAATAATTTGAAGAAGAACAAAACTGGCATGCTAAAAACAAATGGACTTACAATAGATGCAGAATATTTCTAAAGGATACATCAGAAAGCAACGAAAACAAATGCAAAGCAGGAATCAAAAAGAATGCTTAATTGTATTAATGGAAAATTATAATGTATACAGACTGTCATCTTGCCAAAAGCAAAAATACAAAATGGTACCATTCAAAAGTCTCAAAATTACAAAAGAAGCTACTACTCTTATGGGAGGGCAGCATCAGCACAGAAGCAAGTGATTGCAAGCTACTAGATCTAAAAAAAAAAATTAAAGGAGAACATTGTGCAGGCAACCCTACCTTTCTTTTTGCTTCTGTAATACCCTAAAGTCAAGGGAAACAAACCATTGATAAAATGTTCTCAAAGTCCTTTCTCTCCATGTGCAAATCAGAATAAATGAGACCATTTATACATTTGAAACAAACATTAAAAAGTAGTAAAATATTAAAGACTATCTTAGGATGACTAGAAACATCATGCTTGTTTAAAATAATTTTAGAAATGGAGGTGGCTGAGTGGCTCAGTTGGTAAGAGCGCGAGCTCTGAGCAACAGGGTTGCCGGTTCGATTCCCACATGGGCCAGTGAGCTGCGCCAAAGCTGAGCTGCCTCTGAGCTGCCAACGGGCGACCAGATGGCTCAGTAGTTAGAGCACGTGCTCCTAGCAACAAGGTTTCTGCTTCAGCTCCCGCATGGGATGGTGGCTATGCCAACCCGCAACTAAGATTGAACACAGCACCTTGAGCTGAGCAGCCGCAAGCGGCTGATGGGTGGCTGGATGACAACTGGACTTGGAGCTGAGCTAGCTGCGCCCTCCACAATTAAGGCTGAAGAACAACAACTTGGCTATCCCCTTCCCCAATTCCCCAATAAAATCTTTAAAAAAATGAAAGAAAATAATTTTATAACCAAAAAAGCAAATAGCATTTTAAAACTTAAATCTTCAGTTTAGCTATAACAAAATATACTTAAAACAAGAGTTCTATTAAGTAAGTAGATTAAATCATAAAGCAAAGACCTTGGTGGTTAAATAGTTAAATACATTCAATGAAGTTTAATAGACTTAGCTCACAGGAAAATAATTAGCAACTAGAACTCCATGTTGGCGGGAGTAGAGTAGGAAATCATAAGTGGGCTATCCTAAACCATGGTAACGTTACAGAAAACATAAACAACCAGAATTTACAATCCCATTTAAAATTAGAACCCACCTCCCTACTCCAAAGAGCCCGTTATTCCATGGCAAGAGTTCTCAGCACCAATTTTTTCTCTATCAATGTCACATATGTCACTCAACTTTCACTATACTACCCTATTGTTAGATACCACTGAAAACCTAAAAATTAGTGCATATAACTAAAACCTTAGGAAAACAAATTTAGGAGATGAATTCTGAAGCACAAGACCCAACTAATTAATTAATAGACTTCTTTACCTGAGTAAGATAGCGTCTGTAATCTTGCCGCAATTCTTCTTTTAGTTTATGTTTCTTCCGTTCATAGTCTTCCCCAAGTGGTAAACTTAATCCATAATCAATTCCTAGAAAGAAAACAAGTTCTTAAAGTAATGTAGCTCATTTTCAAACCAATCTCAATTGCAATACAATGTCCTGTAACAAAGCACAGTAGGAAGGAACACAGTCACCTTGCTTCTGAGACTGGGATCAGGATAATACATTTTCATTTAAAATGTTTCAACAGGCGATACGTTCACATAATGTAAAACATGGCTCCCACCCATATTCTCCTTCCAGACCAGCACCACCACCATTAGTTTCTCGTGTCTCCTTCCAGAGACTTTTTATGCATCTATAAACAGATATTTTTATATTATTGTGGTGGCGTGGGGTGGGCGTGTATATTATATTTACTTCTTTCCCCTTTAGGTAATGGTTCTACATTGTATGGCATCTTGCTATTTCAAGGACAGCAAAATGAAAGCAAAGAAAAGCTGATTACCTTTACTTCTTCAGTTAATTCTACCAAAATTTCTATAAAATACCTACAATAATTTCAGTGTTTTGCAGTTTGTGAAAATGAATAACGTGATTTTTTAACCTATAAGAATACCCTTGCTATAACAGGTTTGAGAAAAATTAGGGCCATGAGTGGCTCAAGCTGAAATTTCCAAAGTTAAGCCACCAATTCTGATTTCACATAAATGGACATTAATTTTTACTGTGGTAAAATATATGTAAAATTTACCATTTTAACCATTTTTAAGTGTACAATTCAGCGGCATTAAGTTCACCCAAAATGTTGTGCAACCATCACCACTATCCATTTCCAGAATTTTCCCATCATCCCAAAGAGAAGCTCTGCAAAAGGGTAATTTTTTTAAGTAAAACTTCAATTTTGAGCAGTGTTTCCTTACACAAAGTTCAAAAATCAAATTACATTTTGGAGTGATGACAATAATGATGGCTGCACAACTTGTAAAAACACTAAAAACCACTGAATTATATAATTTAAATGGATGAACTTTATGGTATGTAAATGATATTCCAGCAAAGTTGTTATAATCAAATTACATACTTTTCAAATATTTTAAATAGTAAAATATTATGTCAAGAAACAAAGATATCAGATCGGTATTTGATTTCTGAAGCCCCTCTCTTTTCGTAGTCCTACTGTGTAATACTATAGTATAAAAAAACTTATCATTTCTAAACAAAATAAAAATTTTCCTTAGAGAGTCAGCTACAACCAATTTAAATGAAATATAATTGACTATAGTTTATAAACTGATAAGGGTATCATCATTTTTGTGCCTTGTTCTTCATAATGCAACTAAATGATGGGGACTTATCATGAATGGGTCACATCATTGCTTTATTACATCACTGAAATGTTTCAGGGGTAAAAAGGCTACAGTAGCATAAACATAAATGAATGCTGATTTTTCTGTAATATTAAATTCCATTTTCCATTAGAAACACTGTGGAATTCTGTTTATAAACAGTGCCGGCCTACTTAATTCCTGATAAAAGAGGGTATAACATAGAATTCCTTAGGATACTTCTCACCCATGCTCCCAACACTGTTCCAAAAAAATGTAAAGCATTTCATATGCTTGGAATTTAAATCATCCTAAAAAGGCATTCTTTTCTCACAAAGAAATCTAAATCTTAATAATTTTGTTTGTATTACAACTGAAATTTTTTTTAATTAAAGTTTATTGGAGTGACAATGGTTAGTAAAGTTACATAGGTTTCAGGTGTACAATTCTGTAATACATCATCTATATGTCACATTGTGTGTTGACCACCCAGTCAGTTCTCTTTCCATCACCATATATTTGATCCCGTTCACCCTCATCTGCCAACCCCGACCCCTTTACCTTATTTTTAATGATACAGAATTTAAACCTAAAGAAACAGTTTCAATTCTCACATTCAGAATGGAGTATCACATAAGAAGTTAAACTATAAAATCAGTTGAGGTCTGGTCCATGCTTTATTCAATTTTATAATGCCTGACATACAACCTGTACCCCAGAAATGTATACTGAATAAGTGTGTGAATATATGAATGAATGCCTAAGAGAAAGGAAGGAGAGAAAGGAAGAAAAAGAAAACACTATTCTTAGTATTTCATTTTTGCTTCTAGCAGTCTGATTGCACAGAGAGGAAACATGATAACTGGTAACCACAGTTACCTATCTCTAGTCACAGAAAGTCACAAAGGATGCTCAATTGTGTCAGGGCGAAAAAGAAAACAATGCTGCAAGAATGATGCCTCCCAACATGCTCAGCGCTGCTCTCAGGGAACAATTTACAGCTTTCTGAAAAGTCATGTGTTTAAGGTGGCTTTTACTACTATAAGCGTCTTAAAAGACAAGTAAGAATACACAATGCCTTCTTTATAAATTTAGAATTATTTAAGATTTTATTAGGGCTTACTCAACAGACAATAATATCTCTTTAATTCTTATTTTTCTCATCCAGTACCAGTATCTGATGGCACTAGAGTTGTCATAAAAATAAAATTAAGAACTGTACGGAACAATTTATTCTGTTCCTTTTAACCTATGCATTAACAATGGCATCTCAATTGACTTTAATGAGCTAAGAAACATGGTGAGACTCACTTATTCAGAGCAGTTGTCTTCTGATAGTTCTAGTGGCAAGTAAAGTATTAGTGTCATCTTAGGGCCATTTGAAGTGATGTCACTTCGGCAAGTGCACCACCACTGACTGCAAGCTAGTTAACGTTATGCTTCAGAATGACATCAGTTAGAAGCTTTTGGTTTCTATAGTGATTATGGGTTAAATATTTAAAACTAAAGTATACAATCTTTTTAAAACTAATACACCTTCTAACTAGCACTCATAATAAACACTTTACAAAACAAATTACCATGGAACACTTAGTTTCTTCTTTTCATTACTACATTACCATGAGAAGTCGTTATGTAAAAATAATCAAAGGGCAAATTATAAATAATGATAGGCCTTTCCAGAAGCAGATGACTTACCAAGAGATGTGACTACTTTATTTTTTTAAGCATAAATATATTTTGACATGACCACACAAGGGAATGTTACACAACAATAAGATTACATGACTTATAATTACAAAACAACAATATGGATGAATCTCACAAACCTGTTGCAAAAGAGAAGCCCAGGCACAACAGTACATACCTTTTATTCCACTTAGCAAAGACACACACACACACACACACACACACACACACACACACACACACAGCAGTATGCTGTTGAGATGTGACTACTTTAATTGAGGAGAACATTGTACTCAAACTTTAGCTATAAAGGTATTATTACAAATCACCCAATATGACGTGCTCATATCACACAGGATGTGCTCAATTCCTCCAGCAAGTTGTGACAATACATGTGAAGTGCTGCTACCAGGGAAGCTCATTAGAGACTCAGTGCCCAAGGCTGTTACTGGTCATCTAGGCACGCTCTGTCTAGCACGTACCCAGACTCCCCAGAAGGAAAGCACGTGTGTGTCCTGCACAAACCACATGGTTTCTGCACAATGAGCCACACTTATCACTTAGGGAAAAATTTGTTATCAGTATAGAAAACGATTTACTAACTAGGTTCCAGATACTAGCCAAGGGCCAGGTTTGCAGCAGTCCTTTCTAAGGACAGGCAGTCCCAGGCCTGCTCTGTTAACAGTGTACGTATAAAATAGTGTCCACTTTTATTCAGCATAGTATTAGAAGTCCTAGTCAGAGCAATCAAACGAGAAAAATAAATAAAGGCATCTGAATTGGAATGGAAGAAGTAAAACTGTCACTGTTTGCAGGTGATACGATACTATATGGAGAGAACCCTCAAGATTCCTCCAGAAAACTATTAAAACTAATAAATGAATTCAGTAAAGTCACAGTATACAAAGTTAATATACAGAAATCAGTTGTATTTTTATACATGAATAATGAACTATCAGAAAAAGAAATTAAGAAAACAATCCCATCTACAATTGCATCAAAAAGAATAAAATACCTATGAATAAATTTAGCAAAAGAGGTAAAAGACCTGTACTTGGAAAACTATAAGACATTGAAGAAAGACGCTGAAGAAGATATAAACAAATGGAAGCATATACCATGCTCATGGATAGGAAGAAATTAATATCGTTAAAATATCCATACCACCCAAAGCAATCTATAGATTCAATGCATCCCTATAAAAATACCAATGTCATTTTTCACAGAACTAGAACAAATAATCCTAAAATTTAGATGGAACCACAAAGAACCTCAAGAAGCCAAGGCAGTCTTGAGAAAGAACCAAGTGGGAAGTATCACACTACTTGATATCTAACTATACTACAAGGCTATATTAATCAAAACAGCACGATCTGGCATAAAAAAGGCACACAGATCAATGGAATAGAATAGAGAGGCAAGAAATAAACTTATGCCTATACGGTCAATTAATGTCAATGCCTATGACAAAGGAGGCAAGAATATACAACAGGGTAAAGACAGTCTTTTCAATAAATGGTGTTGGGAAAACTGGACAGATAGGACTACATCAAAGTGAAAAGTTTTCACACAATGAACCATCAACAAAATGAAAAGACAACTTACTGAATGGGAGAAGGTATTCATCAATGATATATCCAATTAGGGGTTAATATCCAAAATATATAAGGAACTCATACATCTCAACACCAAAAAAAACAAACAATCCAATTTTAAATGGGCAGAGGACCTGAATAGACATTTGTTCAAAGAGGACATACAGATGGCTAACAGACATATATGAAAAGGTGCTCAACATCACTAATCATCAGGAAAATGCAAATCAAAACTACAATGAGATAGCACCTCACACCTGTCAGAATGGCTATCGTCAATTGATGATATGGAGAAAGGGGACCCTCAGGCCAGCCGAGTGGCTCAGTTGGTTAAGAGCTCGCTCAAGAGTTTGAGCTCTGAGCAACAGCAGTTCGAGTCCCGGCCCGAGGAGCTGAGCAGCCACTGAGCTACCAACAGATAGCAGGATGGCTCAGCTAAAAAAAAAAAAAAAGAACAGAAAAGGGACCCTCGTGCAC